TGTAGTCCTTGACTTAACAACCTTTCATTTTCCAAGTTACACCAGCATTGAAAAAAGTGACTTTTGACAGTTTTTCACACAACTGTAGCAGCAGCCCTCTGTGGTCACATGATCAAATTCAGACATTTGGTAATTGGCATGTATTTATGACAGTTGCAGTAATCCCAGGATCACGTGATCACCTTTTGTGACCTTCTAGCAAGCAAAGTCAATAGGGAAGCCAGATTCACTTTACAACCGTGTCATTAATTTTAACAACTGCAGTGATTCATTTAACAACTGTGGCAAGAAATATCGTAAAATGGGGCAAAACTTAACAATTGTCTCACTTAGCAACAGAAATTTTGGGCTCAGTTGTGATTGTAAGTTGTGGACTACTTGTATTTTTAACATTGCTTAGTTGTGGTTTGCTCTGGTCTGGAATTCTTTTGAAGAAGAATCTGTGTGCTTATAGAAAGTCTGGGTACAACATGTTTATCCATGTGTTTGTGCACACATGTAACTTGACAATATTCCGCGTTTTTACAGGGGGGGAGAGATGGCTGAAATCAGTGACCTTGACCGTCAGATTGAACAACTGCGGCGCTGTGAACTCATCAAGGAGAGTGAGGTCAAAGCCCTCTGTGCAAAGGCCAGGCAAGTGTTTGTAGACTTCTGAGCAGTTGCTGCTTTTATACTACAGCATGCAGCTGATGATGTGAAAGGCAATTCCAGATGACACCACTCTCTTTTCCTTCCAACAGAGAGATCTTGGTGGAAGAAAGTAATGTCCAGAGAGTAGATTCCCCAGTAACAGTGAGTAAGGGTTTGGGGGGAATGTTTCATAATATCTTAGACTGGTGTGGTGACATCAGCAGTCAAGCAAACTTTTATTTTTTTATCCTTGATGCTTTTTTTCCAGGTTTGTGGGGATATCCATGGCCAGTTCTATGACCTTAAAGAGCTATTCAGGGTGAGTACTGAAACCCACTAGTTCCACGCTGCCTTCTGCTGCTTTTTGCTTTCTTTCTGTAGATTCCCTAATTTTATGAGTAACTGTTTCATGTGTTCCATGTCTCCATGCCTCAGGTGGGTGGCGATGTACCTGAGACCAACTATCTTTTCATGGGAGACTTTGTTGACCGAGGCTTCTACAGTGTTGAAACATTCTTGCTGCTGCTGGCACTCAAAGTAAGGAAAGCCCTGATAAGTTAACATTATTATTTTCTTTTTTTATTTAAAAGTCAGTATGTGTTGGCAATGATGCAAGTTTGGCTAATACCTTTTTAAATCTGTAGGCTAAGCTGAATGGGTCCACTCCTTTTTACAGGTCCGTTACCCGGACAGAATCACCCTTATCCGTGGCAATCACGAAAGCAGGCAGATCACCCAGGTATATGGGTTTTATGACGAGTGCTTGAGAAAATATGGCTCTGTCACTGTGTGGCGCTATTGCACTGAGATTTTTGACTACCTCAGCCTCTCTGCCATTATTGATGGCAAGGTGAGTATGCAAGTATAATTCTTGAATCATGATGAATTGTGGATCTGAAGGAGATTAGATTGTGATTTGAAAGACTTACTGTCTGAAAAATAGGGGGGGGGACATTTTACTTGCCAAGAGATGTAATTATGGGCTAATCACTGGTGGCATAGGGCTGATTCATAATGAATGTTTTCTCTTAATTCAAATCCAGCACTTGATTGTTTTTAATCAATTGCATAACTGAATATCAGAGACTGTAAAGGGGTAGTGGGGCACATAGATATTATGTCTCTGGGGTAAGGTGATCAGAGAAAAAAAGTGGAAGGAGGTCCATAATGTATATTGTATAAGTGTGCCTTTTCTGTTCAGATTTTCTGTGTCCATGGTGGCTTATCCCCATCCATCCAGACGCTGGACCAGATCCGAACGATAGATCGCAAACAAGAGGTTCCTCATGATGGCCCCATGTGTGATCTTCTATGGTCTGACCCTGAAGGTACAGCTATGAGTCTTTCTTTTTCTGTTTGTGTGAATAAATAGCTTGATACTAGACACCGTAATGGCTAAAATTGTGTACAGGTTTGGTGGAATCTGATAGGAAATGCACATGCCAAAAGCAGTGTTGAAGAGTATTGTGTTTGTAATTCTGACTCAAAATTATAGTAGAACGAAAAGAGTTAGTGGGTGTTACTACATACCCTGATGGGACTGAAGTAGTTGAAAAGAGACCGTAGCAGATTATATCCCAAGCACATTGTGGTAAAGTTAAAGGTTTCCCCTGCCTAGCCATGTCCAACTCTAGAGCACGTTGCTCATCTCCATTTTTTGACCAAGGGAGCCATTGTTGCTGAAGAGAGTTTCCATGGTCATGTGGCCAGCATGACTATATGCCTAGGTGTACAAAACACTGTTACCTTCCCACCAAAGTAATACCTATTTACTCATATTTGCATGCTTTCAAACTGCTAGGTTGGTAGTAACTGGGGCAGGAATGGGAGCTCACCTCATCACGGGGCGGTCAGTTCTCAAACCCGGGCTGTCAGCTTTCCAGCTGACAATCTCAGCATCTATAACTGCTGAGCCATTGTGCCCCTACCTTGCGGAAGACATATAATAAATCTTGCATGGATTTGCAATCATCAGCAAATCAAATAAATGGTAAAACTCTTTTAAAAAAGTCTTCCACTAAAGATAATCAGATATTTTGTATTTCCATCTCCATTTCCTTTCCACTCCCAGAATTATTTTTTTTAAAAGGGAAAAAGAATAGCCTTGCATGCTGGCTGAGGAATTCTGGGGGTTGAAGTCCACAAATAATAAAAGGGCCAAGTTTGAAGACCTCTGTTCTACAATGTCTCCTTGTCAACTGATTGGATTTCTTCTATTCTAACATCTGCAAGACCAGATGTTTCCTTTTCCTAGCATTAGCCTGCCATTTGGGTTCCTGTGTGTCGATATTCTCTTTGTTTGCTCTTCTAGATACTACAGGCTGGGGGGTCAGTCCTCGAGGTGCTGGCTATTTATTTGGCAGCGATGTGGTAGCGCAGTTCAACGCAGCAAATGACATCGACATGATTTGCCGGGCACATCAGCTGGTCATGGAGGGATACAAATGGCATTTCAACGAGACCGTTCTTACCGTGTGGTCAGCCCCCAACTATTGCTACCGGTGAGAAACTGCCACAGGGTATGCCTGTGAAGAGGAAGAACTGTGGGTTGGGGAGAGGAAGATTGAAATTAGCTGAATGTGTTGTCCAGGGATGTGCAGCATTGATAAAAGCTAAAGCACACAAATTTGACCCCTCTTCTCTCTTCCAACCACAGCTGTGGGAATGTTGCAGCCATCTTGGAACTGGATGAACACCTTCAAAAGGAATTTATCATCTTTGAAGCAGCCCCTCAAGAAACCCGAGGCATCCCATCTAAGAAGCCTGTTGCGGACTACTTCCTGTGAATGCTGCTCCTCCCTCGTCCCCCTTGTGCGGCTTCTGTTTCCTATTCTGGATGGAGTGGTCAGCTTCTCTTTCAGCCTCTGGCAGGGGTTCAGCTCTCTTCTTTCCTTCTCTCCCTTACCTTGGCCCTCGCCCAATAAATTCTCAGTTCTGGACCCCTTAGACTGAATTAGCCATCTTTTCCCAACATTGCTGATTCCTGGGCAATCCCTAGGATTGCCATACTTGGTATATCCCCACCCCACCCCTAAAAAAACACACTTTTTTAAAGGATTTCTACCTGTGGAAAAACCTGGAACTTTGTCAGCTCTTTCCATGAAAAGAAGTATCAGCCCAGGATTGAAGAAAAATTGTAGTTCTTCAAAGCTCTCTAGTTTTGTAGAGAAGTCACTGACCGATTTCTTGAGCAACTGTTGATGGGGCTTTTCTAATGAAGCAACATTGTCCAAGCTGGTGGCTCTCCAAATGTATTGGCCCTAAAACTCCTATCACCCTAGCCAACATGGCCATTCTGAATTAGGTGGTGGGAATTGTAGCATAATCAAATCTGGTGGATACTAATTTAGAGACGGCTGTTTTAGAAGAACTGGAAGTTATTGCTTAGAGAATATACAAAGAACTGGATTCAGAAATAAGGAGAAGCCAGCTTGATCAAAGAATATCTGATCTTGTTAGGGGAGCTAATTATCTGGACTAATTCCTCCCCTCCTGCCAGGTCACTTAGATACTTCCTTTTTTATTCTTTTTCCTTTTGTCAGCTGACCTTGGAACTCTATGGTTTTGGTGCCACTCTGAAAGATTTAAGCAAAGAACAGGAAGTGCTTTAAACTCTGCTGTTTTGGGTTGCTGGAAGACCTGCAGTGCTGAGGGTTTTTGGCACTTCAGTCTGTAATTTGCTTCAATTATGTGGAATAGTTTGAGCTAATATAGGAAGTCCTTCCTTTGTATTCCATCGCTCCTGATTCCCACTCTGCTCCTTAAAAACCATATGGCCAGTGGAAGACAAGACTGTCCCCAGCGTTCTATACCAAAAAATTCTGATCTTGCAAAAAGATTTTTTGTGGTCACTGGAGGATCCAAATGCTCTCTGGAATCCATTGAGCTTTGGCGATGGGGTTATTAAATCTTTTATTGGCAGATCTGGTTCTCTTACTTCTTCTTCTCCCTGACTATGGAGATTGGGACCACATCATGCTAATGAATTTGACCAATGGGCATGTTTTCTCTCTTCTCCCTATGTTCTTGTGCCCTTGTGGGGATGAGGCAGCCACACCTGTAATCCCCAGGCTGACATCTTCCTCTTCCTTTCTTTACCTTTATTCCTGTGAAGGAATGTGCAGTCCAGGTATCTATTTAGAGTTAGAAGGGGGACTTCCTGCCAACTCCCATGATCTGTCTCTTGCTCTAATTTTATTTTGTTTTCATTTTGTTTTTCCTATTTGCAACTTTTGGATAAAAAATAAAATTAAGAAAAAATGAGTTTCTTGTACATTGTGTAATTTGTATTGCCACATCATTTACAAAGGAGTGCTACAGAAATATCTGCAAATATGTCTTTTCTTATGATAGTTAATTTCCTGATTAATTTGGTAGTGGCTGAGAAAGGAGGATAATTTTAATACATTCACTATAGTTGCAGAGGAAAATAAGAGAATTTGCATTCTCTCATCAAGCCAAATAGGATCTCTCATATATATGTGTGTGTGTGTGTGTGTGTATGTGTATGTGTGTGTATGTCAGGAAATTGAAGAGAAATTTTCTACTTGGGAAGTAATTGAAAAAGGAAGTTTGATTGTGAGTGTCTCAACTTCAAAATGTACAGTCTGTTGCAGCCTTTGTGGGATTTAATTATAAACTATGCAGATATAAACAAGCTCTACTTCCTTAAATGGAAGAGGAAAACACCATGAAACTTTGCAAGCAGAAGCAAATAAAATACAGGTATCCAGGTTGTGCAGGGGTTAAAGCATTGATGGCTGTGAGCCAGGATAGCCAGAGGGAGGTCCATAGACACGAGGTGGAGGCGGGTAGGGTGCAAAACTGAACTTGAAAGGAGAGAATGAGGAAGCTTCTGGTGGTTCTGCACTTCCAAGGAAAGGAACCACATCCAGGCTGGCCCAGCTCGCTGGGAGCATTGGTCTGTAATCGGCTTGCTCAGGAGGAGACTTGGTAAGGGGAGAAGATGGAAGAACTGCTATTTCTTGGCTTGGGCTGCGGAAAAGCATAGCATAAGTCAGCACCTAAGAAGACTTGTAGGTTATTGGCTGAACCTGCCTAGCCTCCCATTTTGTGGGTCACACAGTTGTGTTTTCCCTTATATAGCCCAGAGGATTTTCATTCTGAAGGTATTTCTAACCTTCCTTAGTCCTTTCTCATTCCACTGAAAACATTCCTTTTTCTTTTTGCAATATCCTATTTGATGTAAATCGGGTGTCCAATCTTGGCAACTTTAAAACTTGTGGACTTCAATTCCCAGAATTCCCCAGGCAGACTTCTGGGAGTTGAAGTCCACAAGTCTTAAAAGTTGCCAAGGTTGGACACTCATGGTGTAAACCATGCATCGTGAATTTTGACTTTCTTATGGGATTGAGTTGAAAGGATAATTGCAAATCAGCCAAATGTTACTCTTTTTAAATATTTTTGCATTGGCCTGAAAGCAAGGATGGAATGCAGGATGATATTAACCAATAGGTTATTGCCTCTAGCATCACAGCTGACATTAAAAGATAAGCTTGAGGAAAATCTTGTACATGATTGGAACAGCTGCTAATAAAGATACTGGCTTGGCTCATTTTGATCATATGATCAGTGAAGCAAACTTAATCTACTGAAACATTTGTAGAAGGCCTCCAACTCTCTTGTCTCTAAAATATTGTTTTATGTATAAAACAAAGCCTTTGCCAGAAAAAGCCAAGAGCAATTTTCAGTGCAGGATTTAGACAATGATCACTCTTGCATAATAAAAATTAATGTAGCTATAAGTAACTCTATTATGTATAGCTGCGTCTGAAACATTTGATAGGCATCACTTATATATCCTTTCTCGGGGATATATCACTAGACTCCTCTAAGTCCTAAGTGTGACAAATATTGGAGCATGTTCACAAACAAAATGGTTTTGTACAGAATTCATTTGGAGGAGGAGGGGCTTTGTTATGGATAAATTTTCACACTCAATTAAAGTTTCCATGCTGGAGAACTATGCAGTCTTCAGTTGGTGAAAAAAATAAATGCCTGGTTCTCAAATGTGGATACATGGAACAGTCTGTGTAAAAATCACTAAACAATATATTTCTCTAACATATAATGAGGATGTTTTTTGGATAGGATATTTTTAAGAGCCAGTTTGGTCTAGTCCAGGGGTAGGCAACTTTGGCTCTTTTATGATTCGTGGCTGGCTCAGGAATTCTGAGAGTTGAAGTCCACGAGTCATTAAACAGCCAAGGTTGCCTACCCCTGGTCTAGTCTCTAGTGATAAGGCACCAGGGCTAGTAACCAGGAAACTGTCAGTTATAATCCTGTTTAGGCATGAAAGCCAGCTGGGTGACTGGATCAGTCACTCTCAGCCCACAAGGTTCAGGTGACCAGGTGGTTGGTCAATTCCTATGGCAACCATTGGATCAACGCTTGGTTGATGTGAAAAAAAGCAGACTGTGTTTGTGGGAAAACGCTAGGAATAAAAAAAAAAAAAATCCAGGTCAGTCCTGCCACCCTGAAGGAAAAGTAACATGATCCTTTATTAGATAGCAACTAAAATAAACAATCCGAATATCTGAAGTTAGCTAAATGGTCCAGTGGTGAAGCCATCAGCCAGGGGTAGGCTCTTTTATGACTTGTGGATTTTGATATGAAACCACTGGGTGAGATCAATGATCAATTCAGAGTACAGGATCATCAGTACTGATGATCTGTGCAACTTATTCCCAGGCTGTGCAAGTGATGATTCAGGATCTGGAGGCAGTGCAGGCCTATATGGGTGAAGATTCAGGCTCAATACTGACAAGACTGAGTGGCAGTGGCCGTGGCTGTTTGGGGCCCTAAGTTTGGGATGTTTCCACTTCTGATTCTGGATGGGGTTGCACTTTCCTTTTAGGGATTAGTAAGCAACTTGGGGATCCTCCTGGAATCACAACTGCTCAAATGGCAGCTATAGAGCCCTTTTATGTGCACCAGCTATGCTCTTCCCTCAACTGCGAGGCCCTTTAAATCAGGGGTGTCCAACCTTGGCAACTTTCAGACCTGTGGACTTCAATCCCAGAATTCCCCTGCCGGCCATACTTCAATTATGTATTCTTTTAAATATTGCAAGACACCTGGCATTTTTCCAGAGTTGGGCAGCTTTAACACCAAATAATGAAATAAATAAATATTCTGTTACCTGCCATAAGGTGAGGATGGCCCCCTTAAACCATGAAAAGCAGCTGGATGCTGTACATAAGCCTCAGCCCCATTGAGATTAATTCCTGCAGGGGGGTAGAAGGAACAGGAAGGCTGTGGAAGTGCAGGGGGTGGCTGTTGTTCCAGAGGCCCCTCTTCCGTCAGGGTGGAGTCGCAAGGACCCTTTTTGCTCTCTATGGGAAAGGATGTGCAGAGAAGACAGGAAGAGAAGACAAAGTTATAAGTAGGAATTAAAGAACTGCATGCTGGAAACCTATTTGACAAAGACGGGGAGCTCTTTATGAAAGAGGTGACACAAGGAGGTGAAATGACTGTACACTTAGTTAAGAAAAAAAAATCTAACGATTTGTCGAGGAAATCAAGTGAGGAGATTCTTTTAATTGATTCTTGGAGTTGTTTTTGATTTGAGCTGGCTCTAAGCCCTGTAAACGAACAAATAAAGCTAGTTTGCATAAGTGAGGTTCTTCTGAGAAGCTTATTTCACTTCAAATTAATAAGACTACTTTCAAGGAAAAAGGATAATTGCAGATGAAGGAGAAGAAAATGGAGAACGTGGCTTTGGGAAGAATTATGAGGTTATGGAGGGGTAATTAAAAAAGCAAGGAAGAAGGAATTATTGAATGTGTGCCTAGGGCAGTGGTGGCGAACCTATGGCACGTGTGCCAGAGGCGGCACTCGGGGCCCTCTCTGTGGGCACACAAGCCGTTGCCCCAGACTCGCCTCTCCCCACGACCCCCTCCTCACCAGCAGCCACCCTGGAGGAGAGTCGCCCCTGAGCGTGGCCCACACGGAGCAGCGCAGCCAAGGACATGGCAGCCAGGCAGCATAGACAAGACTCTGCCCTCATGCCCCATCCCACACAGTTGATGCTGTGGGGCGCAGGCAGAGGGCGTGGCCGCCATGGCGCTGCTGGGCTGCCTGGGCAATCTGTGGCAGGCCCTGGAGTCAGTGAGTGGCCCTGTGGGCAGGCGGGGTGGGGAACAGGGTGGGGGTGGGGCAGGGGGTGGAGTGGGGATGGGGCCAGTTTTTGGACACTCGGTCTCTAAAAGGTTTGCCATCACTGGCCTAGGGTGATGGATACCTAGGAAAGAGATGGAAATGTAGGCATTTGGTCAACTATCTAGAACAGGGATGGGGAACTATAGTCCATTTATGACTTGTGGACTTCCAGAATTCCTGAACCATGCTGGCACAGGAATTCTGGGAGTTGAAGTCCACATAGTTTCCCGTCTCTGATCTAGAATCATAGTTATGCGTGATCCAGGTGCATGCACAAGTAAAGGGGATCAGAGTGATGAAAACAACAGGCATCACAAAGCAAGCTCTACCCATTTTCTACATGTATTGCAACATTGCATACATGCCCAAAGGGATAAAGCTCGTCATTTTGACATAGTGAGATCCTAAGAATGCTGTTAGGATTCTCTCATTTGTTGACTAATGTTGATGAATCACAGAATTTCAGCAGGCCAGCCTTATCTAGTCCTGAATGAGGAATCACAGAAGAATTACACGTAATGCACCTAAAAACAGGTGGGGTTGTTATTGCATCACCGTAACTGCCGTTTTGACTTTTTGGGCCACAGCCTGCAAACATGCCTCCACGGAAGAGGAGAGGCTGAATCTTAAAAGGAGTATTTAGGAAGTTAAGACAGAATAAGGTAGCTCTATTGTCCTCACCACTTTCTCCCTGGTTTGCTTCGCATTCACTGATCTTCATCTTCCTTTTGATTCGTGCCTCACGCTCCCTGTATTTTGTAATGGACCATAATGAGATCTGATAAAACAGCAGTCAGAGCTCAAACATTTTTCAGGATCATGCAATTGCAGATTGCTGGTCAAGCAGAGTCTACCCCATCTGCTTTCTAGAGTCTTAGCATTTTGTATGTTTGTTTGTTTTTATGCTAATTTTTTAATTTACATTTTTTATTCAAATACAAATAATGCAAACATAATACATATAAGTCTAAATAAAAAACTATATATCTATATCTATATCTATATAGGTCTTTGGTTATTCGGGTTTTCTCCCGCGTCAAATTGGAAGTGTCTTGGCGACGTTTCGATGAAGTCTCATTCATCATCTTCAGGCTGGTGTTTTCGGCTTCGTGCTTCTTGCTCCTAGAAGCACGAAGCCGAAAGCACCAGCCTGAAGATGACGAATGGGACTTCGTCGAAACGTTGCCAAGACACTTCCAATTTGACGCGGGAGAAAACCCGAATAACCAAAGACCTACATACAAACACCCGCGAAAACCTCAGAATATATATATATATATATATATTTACCTCGAATGTACACCCTGTCAACCCAAATATGGGAGAAAGAAATCTTCTTTCTTTTTCTTTTTCTTTTGCCTGTATCAGCTCAATCTAGAGCCATCCACAAGCAGCAGTCGCCAACTGCGACATCATTTTACATTTTTAGGTTGCTAACAAAGAATAAAGAGAGAACTGGTATAGTTATTTCGAGTTCCATTAACTCTCTTCAGCCAGACTTACTCTTCTGAGATTCGAACCTGGGCTTATCTGCATGTTAGGCAGTTGTTATAACCTCTAAGCCACAGGTTCTCTCCCACTCTGTTAGCTATCAGGAGAGAGACAGGTTCGAATCTCAGAAGAGTAAGTCTGGCTGAAGAGAGTTAATGGAACTCGAAATAGCTATACCAGTTCTCTCTTTATTCTTTGTTAGCAACCTAAAAATGTAAAATGATGTCGCAGTTGGCGACTGCTGCTTGTGGATGGCTCTAGATTGAGCTGATACAGGCAAAAGAAAAAGAAAAAGAAAGAAGATTTCTTTCTCCCATATTTGGGTTGACAGGGTGTACATTCAAGGTAAAAATCTACTCCCCCTGTCTCTCTGTGGGAGAGAACCTGTGGCTTAGAGGTTATAACAACTGCCTAACATGCAGATAAGCCCAGATTCGAATCTCAGAAGAGTAAGTCTGGCTGAAGAGAGTTAATGGAACTCGAAATAGCTATACTAGTTCTCTCTTTATTCTTTGTTAGCAACCTATTTGTAATATATATTACAAATATTACGTCCTTATCCCCTCCAAAACAGCATGTATTCCTAAATAGGTTTATTCCCTTTGCCTTCCACCAATGCTGTTTTTAAAAAAATCCTCTCATATTTCATTATAATTATTTATTTTAATCATCCCTTTTTAAAATTTAATTTCTGTTGTTAATTTATCATTTATTGCCATATTCCATATTTCATTATACCAGTCATTTCTTTGAATAACCCAATTCCATCCATAGGTGATGTAGAGCCATCACTAATCTAGCTGCCATTATCAAATTTACAATAAATTCCTTTTTTGCTTCATTTATATCTTGTTTTTCCACCAGTAACAGTAATGCAATCGTCAGTGACATATCTAAATTTACATTCAAAGTTCTCTAATTTCCCTAAACACCATGTCCCATATCACAATCCCATTTTGTTTGTGACCATTCGGCTTGTTGGAATGAAATCTCTGATGCCAGATAATCTGGAGGCCACAATTTATGCAGCCATCCATAGAGGGATTACAATGTCCTTCAGCCTCAGCCAATCTAGAAGGACATCTTTTGCAGTGGGAAACATCGGGAGACCCATACTGGTGTTGTGGTTTTGATTACTTCCTGCTCACCTTTTGCTGTTCATGCCATTTTCTCGGAAGCCCTTTGCAAAAGGATTGCTCTCTATCTTCATCTGAGTGATCTGAATGGACAGCGAGGAGTAAAAGAAATAATAAATTTATACATTAGAATTAAAGGAATAGAAGTCATTATACATATTGATAGTAATGTGGTATAATGAACAATCACTAGAATAATGATGTGTCTGCGTAATTACTGGAATAACCTAATGCGCATTGCACTTGGATACAATGTATGTAGCAAACTCTCCCTTGTATACCCGTGAGAAACGAACCTAATGTATGACAATGTGTATTCCTTTGTTCCTGAGAAAGGGAAAGTATAAAACTGAAGTCTGAACCCGCCCTCGGGGTTCAGAATTGCTGGTTGCTATTGCTTCTGAACCTGCGCAATAAATCTCTCTGCTAAAAACCTCTGGAATTCATAAGAGTCCTTTCGTTTTCCACAAGAATAGTAATAAATACATTCTGGCTTGGTGTTTTTTTTCACTCAGTTTTGGGTTATTTCTGAAATAAGTGTAAACGTATATTAATGTTACTCTCAATCTGTTTGGGTGGTAGGATTTTAAGTTTTGTTTCTGTGTGCAAAATTCATATGTGTATGTGTTCCTGGAGGCCAGGAATAGCACAGTGTATGTTTAAGAACAGCACCTGTACAAACTATAAAGTTGACAATGGGTTTTGCCCACAGTAGTTTTAAGTACCAATTAGTGGTCTGGGGAAGATTTCTTAGAAAGAGACCTAAAGGCACTTTGATGTAGTGCTTAAGGAGCTGGCCTAGAAACCAGGAAACTGTGAGTTCTATTCCAGCATTACGCATGAAAGCTGGCTGGGTGACTTTGGGCCAATTACCAGGAGACACTGAGTTCTAGTCTTGCCTTAGGCATGAAAGCCAGCCTGGGGACTTTGGGCCAGTCACTCTCTCTCAGCCCAACCTACCTCAGATTGTTGTTATGTGGAAAATAAGAGGAGGAAGGTGTGTTGGATAAATTCGCCAGCTTGAGTTATTTATAAAAACCATATAGGCAGGGTACAAATAAATAAGATAAAAGTCTATTTTTATGACTCTGGGTAGCTGCAGGCAACAAAGCAAATGAATTCTTCAGTTATGTATATTCAGTTATATTTCTGAAGTGGGTTTGCATATTAAGGGGAGATGATTACTTCTGCCCCTCCCAGCAACCAATTTTCAGTAACTCTTGCAGATTTGTTTTTCTATTAAAACCTTTCTATAATGGATTATAGTTCCCATGGTCCCAAGCCAGAATGGCCATTGTCTGAGAACTGCTGAAGTTATAGTTCAACACACAGTTTCCCAATTGGCAACCTTAAGATATGTGGACTTCAACTCCCAGAATTCCTCAGCCAGTCTGGGAAACACTGTCTCAATATCTGTGGGTGACACCAGTGGAGAAATTTCTATTAGATTCCATTATAAGTATTATTAAGACTATGTTCCTAGCTCAATTAGCCCTCCTAGACCAGCTAAAATGAACAAAATAAGACTTATAAAGTCTTCATAACATGAAAAACTATGATGGTGTAATGTAGTGTTTCTTAACTCAGCAATTTGAAGATGGACTTCAACTCCCAGAATTCCCTATCCAACCATGCTAGGGAAGTTGAAGTCCATACATCTTAAAGTGGTGACAGTGAGAAACACTGGTGAAAAGAATTGAAATGACAGACTGTGAAAAGCTGTGGGGGGTGGAGATTAAACTTTGCTGGAGACATGTTTATACTGAAAAATACATTGTTGTGAATAATAGGAGCCAAACTGTTGTGAAACTGAAATTATTAGATAGAAAAACAAATTTTGAGGGCAAGAAAAGGGCACAGTTAAGACTATAAGACCTGCCAAATAAGGGTTAGTTCTGAAAAGATTTGGCTTGGATGAGGGTGTCAGAGAATAAAAGAATAGGAAAATATGCAGAAAGAGAGTAACAAGGAACCCTAGAAAGTCAACGTATAGGAAATATAAATAACAAAGGCTACAGGACTCTAAGGATGAGGGGTGGAGGGACATCTCTAAACATAAGGAAACAGGTGAAGTTAAATGAAGAACAGGCAATGGTGGGATAAGGGGGGGAAAAACATACAGAGGGGCAAAATGGATTTTTGAAAAGAAACAAGATTTCTCCCAATTGCTATATCTTCTGAAAGTCCATTGGTATATTTGCCTAGGCATTTTTCTGGCTGAAAACATTCCTAGAGAGTCTAGACAGCTAACTCTAAAATGTGGAATAATAGGGTTGGAAGGTACTTTGGAGGTCTTCTAGTCCATCCCCTGTGCGATATTAATACATTTTATTAAAGAGGGAAAGGTTTTTTTTAGCTACCATAGACTAACAAGGTGCGCTCTCTCTCTCTCTCTCTCTCTCTCTCTCTCTCTCTCTCTCTCTCTCTCAAAAGAAGGAGACAATGAGGGACAAGCAGTTTGGTAAGGTGACCAACCATCCTCCTTTAGGGAGGACAGTCCTCCTTTTTTAAGTTCTGTCCTCCCTCGAAAAGTGTCCTCCTTCATGTCCTCCTTTTTGATATTTGAAGACTAATCTGCAGGGCTTTTTTTTTCCCTCATAGAAAGCTCAGAACGGCGTTCCAGCACCTTTTTTTGTTGTTTTTTTTTTAACTTTTGCATGAGCTGTGCTACTCCTACTATTGGCTTTTGAAAGCCAATAGGAATTGCTGCTGAGCGCGCCAAAACACCCGGCTGGCAGACTTTGCACATACAAGTTGTCTGTATTACTGTTATAATGAATAAAATATTTCTTTTATTTACGATATTTTTTTCTTCAATTTATTTGTGTCCTCCTTTTTGTTGTAAAAAAGTTGGTCACCTTAAGTTTGGGGATATTATGGACTCAACAAATGAGAATGAGTCTACAGCAGGGGTCTTCAAACTTGGCCCTTTTATGACTTGTCGACTTCAAGTCCCAGAATTCCTCAGCCTGGCAGACTGGCTGAGGAATTCTGAGAGTTCAAGTCCACAAGTCATAACAGGGCCAAGTTTGAAGGCCCTGGTCTACAGTATAAAAAAATATATCACTTTTTAAAAACCCTGCTCTTGCTCTCTCACCTGTGGGTTCTGGTAAGCTGTGACAGTCAGAAACTGCGTCTCAGGAAAGGTGAAGGAAGCACAGCCACCCCCTGCTCCGCGGCGCCCTCCAGCTCCCACCACATGTACTCGGGGCTGGTAACGATGCATGGAATGAACGATCAACTAAGAAGAGAAGAATCAACAATGAGCTTTATTTTACCTGACCATCTCATGTTCTTCCATTTTCCAACTCCATTTTAGTTCTCTGCAAAACTGAACTGTCTATGCCTGTTGTCATTCTGGGCAAAGCACAAAATGTGATTCTAATTGCCTGATTCATTAATCTTAAATATGACTTCATTTTGTAATTAAAAGGAAGAATAAGAATCTAGGCATGAAAACCTGCCCCCCCCAAAAAAAGCCCAAGTCATTTTTGTAGAGGGATCTCAGTGAGCTAAGTTGTTTCATGCCTTACATCCATGAATGTTTATTTTTATAATAATTCAACACATACCAAGAAAATCTAAGTAAATACTGCATGGTTGATATAGAATTTATTTACTTTGAATTTCAAAATGTAGTGCTCCTTTGGGAAAGATTTTCCTTCGTTTTTGTCATTGGATTCACAAAATCCTGGAGCTTAACTATAACTCCTCATAGTTAGTAGCCTAAAAGATCCTCCCGCATGTGTCCCCTCTTCTAAATCATTTTATTTGGGCTATAAGTGTACTCTGTCAATTATCGTCTCCTGGATGTATATCCCCTCTTCCCCATTTATCTTTCCTCCAATCTCAGGCCCCAGTCATACATGTCCATGAGGATCCAGGGTATTATTGGTGAGCTTGAGCCGATGGAAGGATACAGGTTGGCGCATCCAGTGGGCACCTGATGCAGGTGAATCAGGATGGATGTAAACCCGGTCTGGAGGTGGTAATTCTGCTTTGCCACTGGCTTCCCACTTTTTGCCATGCCACTTGTAGCGGGAGCCTCCTACTGGGACAACATCCACCAGCAGTAGGTATTTAGCTTCAGAATCCAAGCCAGTGACTGCAACTTTTAGCTGTGGAAACATCCGCCTGAAAAGTGATTAAAACATGGATTAGAAAAATTCAATTGTGGAGGAATGGGGCTGTGACACAGGAAGAAAATAGGATTCGTCTCAACTCAAGGTTGGTGATAGCCAATTCTAATCACACTGCCCCCCCCTGCTATAGCTGAGTTCTAGAAAGCTAATAGCTCAGGATGAGCAGACAGGATCCAAATCATATTATTTGGCTCCATTTATTAAGACAGACAGACAGCCCTTGAAAGGTCAACTCTGCCTTGCTTGGAGTACAAACAAGTAGTCCTTGACTTACAACCAAACTGGGATCATAATTTCAATTGCTAAGCAAAGCAGTTGTTAAGTGAGCTGCGGCCAATTTTATGACCTTTTTTTACCAAGTTGTTAAGCAGTTGTTAAGTGAATCACACTGTCATTAAGCAAATCCGTTTTCCCCACTGATGTTTTTTGTGGGAAGCCAGCTGTGAAGGCTGCGAATGGCATTGACACTGGGATACTGCAAGGATTGGAAATATACAATGGTTGTCAAGTGCCTGGATTTTGATTGCGTGACCATGGGGATGCTATGAAAGGAAATGCAAGGACCGGTTGAAAGAAACATTTTTCAGTGCCATTATAACTTTGAAGGATTGCTAAATGAATGGTTTTAAGCTGGGGACTAACTGTAGTGGAAGAATGTTAGGATCTTGTGCACGACAAATGGCTTTTGATTATTCCTTGGAAAGCTGGAAACATACAAAACACTCTCACTTAATTCCTAGAGCAGTAACTATTCTTTCCCAGTTTTCTGAGATGCAATCTTTCTAGTTCTCTTTTCCCTTCACCCATCTGTATAGGTTTCATACAATTACTATAAATTCCCAACGTTGTTTGTCACCAGATCAGTTCATCTTTGATCTGCAGTGACTTAAAATGGTCCAACAATTGGAGACCCAATGTTAGGAAACATTTTTTACACTAGTAATTGAAGACAAAAGGGGATTTTCACGGGTATTCATTTCAGTTAACCCTTTATTCTCTGGTACCCAGAAGGTACACCTGTTTCTCAAAATATTGCTTTTATTATAATAACCCAGCAAAAATTAGAATAGAATAGAATAGAATAGAATAGAATAGGAGCTGGAAGGGACCTTGGAGGTCTTCTAGTCCAGCCCCCTACTTGAGCAGAAGAACTTATATCATTTCAGACAAGTGACTGTCTAGTCTCTTCTTAAAAATCTCCAGTGATGCCCACGATTTCTGGAACCAAACTGTTCCAACTGTTAATTGTTAGGAATTTTCTTCTTAATTCCAGCTTGCTTCTCTCTTTGTCAGTTAATTAATTAGGGACAGAGAAAAGATTTGTTTCTCTTAATGTCTTAAAAGGCTTCCTAAATCAAATTAGCAGTCTAATCAAGTAAATTATTTTCCATCAGCATCCTAAACAGAACTTATAAAAGGTATACTGCTTTTGAACATGAGGCTTCATTTAAAATATTAGAAGTGGAGAATTAGAAGGGACCATTCAGGCATCTAAGTCTAGCTCTCTGTTCAGTAACAGAGAGGACAGCTTTAGATTGCCTGTCCTTGGTGAACTTGTCAAATCCCATTTGCAAGCTATTTAAACTATAATTCATCAGTATGTGTTATGGCCATAGATCCCTAAACTGGTGAATTCTATAAACAATTTTCTTACTCTTTTTGCATTATGGTCTTCCTCCCTGCCAGCTCCAGTGAGACTGAAAAAAAAATGCCAATTGAACATATGCAAAGCTAGTATGTTAAAAATAATTTTGGTTGCAGTCATAACCCTCTGTACATTTATATACAAACAAGAGCCACTGGACTTCATAGGGCTTACTTCAGAGTAGGGAAGGATAAGATTATTGGGGAGATGTTTTAATTTTAGAACAGAAGAAAAGTCATCTGAATCTCTGATTTACATGATCCAAGATTGATCCCTGCCTCGGCAAGGAGAGAAAGAGATGATGGACCAGCAGCTCACCTGCCTGCTTTGGTGATGATCATCTCGGTGCCAATGCCGCTGAACCGCTTCCAGAGCTCGCTGTTCTCCAGGCTCATCCGTACTCCAGGGGGTAGCTGTGAAGTTGTTGGGGGGCCTGATGGGAGTGCCTGAGATGATCCATAAGGGAGGCCAGGGGTTGGGGGCAGGAGGCACCCAGGAGGGTCCAAACCTGGGAAGAAGCCTTCCAATTTGGGAGCAGCTTCCAGCTCTGGTGACAACAAAGAGGAGAAAAGAAAGCTGAGAGGAGGGTTAAGAGGGCATCGGCTGCTGAGCCATGTGGAGTTAAGGGGAAGGAGGGGTCTGCAGGCATCACTGAGGGGCATCATCAAGGAATTTGTCACTCTCCTGCTGGTTTCCGCCCGTTTTCTTCTCTTCCCCCCCTCCATCTCTTCCCTGACCAGTTGGTCTTGGGTGCTAAATATCCAGCTGATGGGGGTGGTGGGCAAGAGCCAACAATTTATGGGAATTCTCCATCTCTCAGCTCCTTTTCTGTTCTCCCCAGCCATGACCTCCCACTGGCCTGTCTAAATCAGAAGCTGCTTCCCCTTCATCTGAGGACCATTCTCATCCTTGGGGTGCCTAGTGGACTTCCCTTTTTTTTTTTTTTAATAATGTAGGTGCCACTTTTCCCACAGATATAATAGCCTCATCTTCTAATCCTCATTGTCTGATTCCAGCTCACCCATTCTGGATTCATTTTATTTATTTATGAAATTTATTTGCCACCCATGTCATACCCAGCGACTCTGGGCAAGCTGTACAACATAAACTTTTGGTCCACTATTCCACTCTAATATAGTTACATCCTAGAATCAGCTTGCCTAACCCTCTTATCTTAAACCTCCTGGCTACAACCTTCTCTCCCAAAACATTGCTGGTTTTATTTTAGTTTCTTATACAAGAAGAAAGTTTCTCCGTGCCAGATTTCTACTTCTTTAACCTCCTCTGAGTCTTCAGAGATGCTTAATTCCCATCTTCTTCCTTAAATGTCTGTCACGGTCCCACCATATCCATCTCAAGAGGCACTCCCAGGAAGGCACAGATGCTTTTTCTTCTACCCCGCTCCCTTTCACACAACAACCCTGTGAGGTAGATAGACTGAATAATGGTGCCTGGCTCTGGATCAGGCCACCATGGAGCGTAATGGCTAAATTAAGACGTTCTTGAGCCCACAATCCTCACTAGCATTTTTGGCTCCCTTCCGTTCACGGCTTTACCATGACCCAGTTTTCCTTCCCCCACCACTTTGCCACATCATCTCCCAATTTCTCACCTGAGTATCTGAAGGCTTCATATTGGGGTGCCTGACTCTGGGGATAGGCAGCTCCAGGAGGGGGTGGTGGTCGCAGAGCATAGGAGCTCCCATATTGGGGGAACATCTCTGATGGGTGATACATGAGGGATGGGCAGAAGCCTGGAGGGCAGGACTGGCTTCCCTGGGAAGGGAGTGGGGGTCCTGTGGATGGGAACAGGTGAGGCTGGAAGCCAGAGCTCCTGCCTTGAGGATGGGGGTAGAGGAGAAGGCCTAGAGGCTGGAAAGTTGGTTTGGGGAGCAAAGTTGGATGTGATTTGGGGAGAGAAGGAAGGGAGGGCTCAGAGGCAGAAAGGAAGGAGCTGTTTAAGGAGCTGGGAGCCAGATCTCCTTGGCTTGGTCTCCTGAAGCAAGTCTGGGATGTGTCCCCCTCCAAATCCTCTCTTTCCCTGAAGCGCCCCTGGTTGGGGGCTTGTATTTATGATTCCGCCAAGGCTCTTTGAAGTGAGACCCCAAATGGCACATTCACACCTCAGGAGGGGAGGGGTTTGGGGCTGGTAGCAGGGGAGCTGCAGGAAAGAAGTAGCAGACGTAGGCTCAGCCTTGGGATGTCCCATCTTTACACACCTTCCAGCTATTTCTGTCAAGATCCCTCTACTTCCCAAGGTCTGTTTTCTCCTTCTGCTTCCCCTGTTCTATCAGCCCTCTTCCCTCTTTTGGGAGGTTGTTTCTAGGCTCAGCAGCCTTCCACAGTCTCTGCCTGCTCCTCCTTCAGAACCAGAGCTGCCCAGCCAGATCTTCTCCCACTTAAGTCCAGCTTCTCAACTCCATCTCAGACTTCATTAAGAGTGGTAGCTGAATCTCTTTCTGCGCCCACCCCTTGAATCCTCCTAATTGCCTAATTAACACCCTGACTCCAAAGTTTCCTGATTGATCCTGACCTATGGGATCCTTGGTTTACAAGTGAGTGAAGGGAGGGGGAGTTGCCAGAGTCATTTATCATCCAGATGTTTTCACAGCTGGGCAGGACAGCTGCAAAAGACTGCCAGATCCTGGGAGAGGCAAGTGAGATCTTCTCAGCTATGGGTACGGTGACAGGACCATACTTCAGATTTTTGAAGGGTCATTTGATGACAGTTTTTTGAAATGTAGTTCTAATGGGTCACGAGAATTGCTGTTGAGGGAGGTATATTAGAGGGAACTACAAAATGTTATTTTTCTGCCAAAGATCTCCTGTTGAGAATAAACCTCCAGAATCCACACCCAGATTAAAATAGGCTGACTTAAATTTCTATGTTGCAGGAAAACAACAGAAGCTTCTGGTATCTTAAGACTAAGATGCTTATTACAATATGTGCGTGTTTTTCCTAGTACATATAAAGAAGGAAGGGAGATAATTAAAGTGGAGATCAAGAGACATATTAAATATAAGAGGTGAAGGCAATAATAATAAGCTGAAAGTTATGGCAGGACCCAGGTGGCCTTGACTGATCTCAAAAATGAAGCAGGACTGAAGATGGTTAGAATAGGATGGACTGTGAAATTGAAAAAAAAATAAAGGCAGTGGCATTGCCACAAAAATTCAGTGATATTTATTTTATTTTTTATTTTATTATATTTTATTATTTTATTTTATTATTTTATTTTATTTTTTATTGGCTGCCCATCTCGTTTACAGAGACTTTGGGCAGAAGTTTGACTGAAAAGACACATTACCTTTAATAGTTGTGCACAAAAATGGGGTTTAGGTGTGAGACAGAAAGTTTTGCATTAGTGACATGATCAACGCACATCATCTGATCAAAACCTTAGTTTGTTGGAACCACAAAAATATTGCTAGGTCCTCCTGTTTTAAAAAAATGGTGGCTGAACTCTGCAGAGTCAGTGAGCATAGTGGATGGTTGCCATGAGATCACAGATAGAACAATCTGGGGAAGAGGTGGAGGAGGAGGGCTCCACTGTTTTTTTTTTGTGTGTGTGTGTGTGAGGGAGACATACTTAATTCTCGTATTAGATCTGTGCTCATTTATTATTGCATTGTCACTATTATGCATTGACTTTCTGATGGAAGATTGTTTTGGAAAAGGGGCTAGTAAGCCCTTAGGTAAACCTAGGCCAGGGGTAGGCAACCTTGGCTCTTTTATGACTTGTGGACTTCAGTTCCCAGAATTCCTGAGCCAGCATGGCTCAGCTTGGAAACTTCTCCCTTTCCCCTCAGCATGGCTGGCTCAGGAATTCTGGGAATTGAAGTCCACGAGTCATAAAAGAGCCAAGGTTGCCTACCCCTGACCTAGACAGCATATTAAAAAGTAGAGACATCATCTTGCTGACAAAAGTCCGTATGGTCAAAGCTATGGTTTTCCCAATAGTAATGTATGACTGTGAGAACTGGACCATAAGGAAGACTGAGCACCCAAGAATTGATGCTTTTGAATTATGGTCCTGAAGAAGATTCTTGAGAGTCCCTTGGACTACAAGGAGATCAAATCAGTCAGTCCTAAGGAAATTCCCCCCTGAATGTTCCAATGTTCTTTGGAAGGACAGATACTGGAGCTGAAGGTTTCTGCCACTTAATGAGAAAAGAGAAGACTCATTGGAAGAGAGACCATGATGTTGGGAAGGATTGAAGGCAAAAGGAGAAAGAGATGGAGGAGGATGAGATGGTTGGATAGTGTCATTGACGCAATTAACGTAAAATTGGGCAAACTCCTGGAGACAGTGGAGGACAGGTGGGCCTGGTGTTTCGTGGTCTGTAGGATCATGAAGAGTCAGACATGACTTAGTGAATTAACAACAACAAAGCCCTTAGGTGACATTATTAGGACTTGCAAGACAGTAGTGTTGTCAAAACAAATATAGGGGCACATATGGGTCTGCTGTTGAGTTGGTTCCTGTGTTGGCCCCGTTAAAACACTTTGATTAACCTTTTAATCTGATTGGCTCTTTGTAATATCATTAAGGGAGCCAGTTTCGTATAACGGGTTCCATCTTAGAAACCAGGAGGCTGTGAGTACTAATTCCACTTTAGGCCTAAAAGCCAATTAAATGACATTGGGTCAATCACCTGAACTAATCCTGTTTTAGGCTGGTTGACTCTCTCTCAGCCCAACCCAATTTACAAGGTTGTTATGGGGAAAAATAGGAGGAAGAAGAATTAGGTATGTTCACCTCCTTTTTTTTTTACTTATAATTACATTATACTTACTTATAAAGTGATAAAGGTGCAATTAAAAAAATCTAATAAATAAATCAAGACGTGAAAATGAACTGTTACTTTACAGAATAAGCTATAAAACATTGTTTCCTTAGAGCACGGGTGTCAAACTCGTCATGTCATGTGACCTGTCAGGACATATCATGACTTTTTTTGCATTGCCGGAGCTGGGGTGGGTGCGGCCTCCGTATGATGCAACTGGCCTGCAGGCCGACAGTTTGACACCTTGCCTTAGAGGAACTGTAGCTGACAATAAACAATGCAGCAATGTTCTTCTATTCCTCTCCAAAAGTGAACTATTCTTAGGTATCAATCTGTTCTTCTTTATCTAGTGTTTTTCCTCCCACAGTATTGTAGTTTGAGAAAGTTCTGACTTAGATCCCTTCATCTGAGTGGTTATGATTAAGGGCTTTGCAGTAGACAATGGATTTTGCCACGTGTTCTGGCTGAAAGCATGCAAGAAGCATACAAATGTCCTCTGTAATGTCCAGGAAGTGAATTTGCATGACAAGTTGGGAATTAATACTAAAGTGGAAGTTACTGAAACCAAAATCACTTGCCAGGGCATTCTTCCACTAAACCAGGTAATAAAATAAGTGGCAAAGAAAGTTTGGAGAATGAAGATGATGCTTTAAATCATTCCTGAAAATGTTACTATGCTGTACAGAATGATTACCAGGAGTCAAGCTCCCTTTGAAGGAGGGTTTACAGCCATTTGTTAGTCTTTAAAGTGCCACAAAACTCGCCATTTCTCAATCAAGAGGATCATGATGCTTAAAATTTCAAGCTGGTATCTAGAGGAAGTATTTATTTATTTCTCTGTATTTTCTCCAGCCATTTCTTCAAATATCTTAGGGCAGGAGTAGGCAACCCTGGGCTCTTTTACGACTCGTGGACTTCAACTCCCAGAATTCTTGAGCCAGCCATGCTGAGGGGAAAGGGAGAGGTTTCCCAGCTGAGCCAGGCTGGCTCAGGAATTCTGGGAGTTGAAGTCCATGAGTCATAAAAGAGCCAAGGTTGCCTAACCTTGTCTTAGGGCAACTGGTATGATATGAAAATTTTTCTCTATGTAATCCTCCTCACGATAACCTGGGTGTAATAACCGGTCAAGGGGTTCCAGATCCCTATGCACTTTGTTTGCAGCTTATTGGTTCTTGATCCCATTCCTGATTTCTGGCAGAAGAATGAAAATTTGTTGCATTGGCTATGATTTCTAAATTCTTGAGGGGGGAGGAAAGATATAAAATAATATTCATAAATATTATTGAAATATTTCCATTAATTGATTGTTTCTAAATATTGACTCTAGCTGAATTTCTACTGTTTACAGTAGTGGCCTTTTGGGAAAAGTGTATTTTTGAGGTTTGATAGCTAATAATACCACTTTTTTTTTGGAATAGTACCATAAAATTACACATCAATGGAAAGATAATTTAATCAAGAATGTAATGCAACATGTTCAATTATCTGTACTATATTCTATGAAACGTTATAGCCAAATAACCAGAAAAAGGAAGCACAACTTGCTTAGGTTGATATCAGGTAGCTTTCTTTCATCTGATTGTATCCAATGAGCATGAGTGTTTAGAGAGCCAATCAGATCACAGTAGGATTCAGTTATTAATGTTATGTATTGAAACTGAGAGGACATTTGTCAGTGTGTTATTTGATTCCCTATCAAGTTGTTTGGGTTTTTTTGTGTTCTTTCATTTAGTGAGGTTGTAAAATGTAATAAAATTAAAGTAATGGTGCAAAGAGTTGACTGGTCGCCCAGAAAGCGATGTAAAATAGTATTATTAAGTGAACAAGGCTACAGTTATAAAGAAATTAGAAGAAAAATTGGTGGAAATTTAACCAAAGATGGAATTTCTATGGTACACTTTTCCCAAAAAGGTTTCCACAATTGTGGCCACTGCTTTAGTTTCCTAGTGCACATGTTGTTTACTCATCTTTCCAAGAACTGAATATTGAAGAGTCACTCATGAGTCAATTTGCTATGGAGAAAAACAGGCATGGTCATCACCCCAACTTATTTTAGCTAGATATTTTTTAAAAACCCTGTGGTTTTCTTAGTTCCTCTAGCAAGGAAGTACAATCTAGAACCATTAACCGGAAATTCTAGGTTTTGAGGGAAATAGGGATTAAAAATGCTTCCCTGGAGTCATTGCTTAATAATAGGTAGGTGCAGGTGGTTTTTGTTGCTGAAGCAAAATTTAATAAGCGGTGACTATAGGAATTAAGGGCACATGGCAGACAAAATTAATTTCATCCATTTAATATTTTTCCCTTCCTTTGACTTCAAGAAGAAGCGGTTGCTATGCAACTGAATGAACATTGCATTTTCTCTCTCCCTCAAAAAAAGTGGGTTAGGTAAAAATAGTGTGCCCCACCTCTCTAGCAGATGAAAACAAGGCAATGCAGTACAATGGTAATAACCCCCTTTGATGTCTTGCCGTGTGGTTTGAGTGCCCTCTTATGGTGTATAGAAGAAGTGCAGGAAATCTGGAATCATATAATATATAATAATTATATATATTATATAGAACATATAATAACAGAGTTGTAACGGATCTTGGAGATCTTCTAGTCCAGACATGTCAAACACAAGACCCGGGGGCCAGATGCAGTCCGTGAAGTGGTTTCATGTGGCCCGCGAAGCCATCCTGAAAACAGTGAGGGAACGGCCCCCTCTGCCTTGGCCCTGGCCCAGGCCGGCCGGGAGCCAATGTACAATTTTGTGGTGGCCATCTATGCTGATTCAGTCTTAGCTCCACAAGGCCATATAGAAACAATGAGGAACCAGCCCCTGCCGCATTGGCCCTGCCCCTTGGGTGCATGCTGGGAGGTGTCACCCTTTGTGAGGAATGAAGAAATGGACCATGCCTTGGCGCTTGTCCCAGTCCCATCCCCTTCTGCCAGAGACCCTCGAATCTGTCCCATTCCTGCCTAGGCCCCCACAGGCGATGTAGAACTGGCCACGCCCACCCAGTAGGCCACACCCACTCCATCCACGCCCACCCAGTAGGCCGTGCCCACCCTGGCCACACCCACCTGGCCCCCCAAGGGCAACTGCAATGCTGATGCAGCCCTCAATGAAATTGAGTTTGACACCCCTGTTCTAGTCCAACCTCCTGCTTAAGCAGGAGACCCTGTACCATTTCAGACAAATGGCTGTCCAATCTCTTCTTAAAAATCTCCAGTGATGAAGCACCCAAAACTTTTGAAGGTAAGCTGGTTGATTGTTCTTACTGTCAGGAAATTTCCCCTTAGTTCTAGATTGCTTCTCTCCTTGTTTAGTTTCCACCCATTGTTTCTTGTCCTGCTTTCAGGTGCTTTGGAGAATAGTTTGTCTCCCCTCTTCTTTGTGGCAGCCCCTCAGATATTGAAACACTGCTGTTGTGTCGCCCCTAGTCTTTCTTTTCATTAGACTAGTCACTAGACATACCCAATTCATGCAATCATTCTTCATACATTTAAGTCTCCAGTCCATATTCTGTGACTCAGATATGAAAAGAATTTGGGACCAGAAATTAAAGGCATGGCAGAATAGTATACAAATCTCTTTCCCCACTAATCTAAAATTTAGCTGAGATGTGGAGAATGTGTATCTGCAGAAGTGTCCCTGATGTCCTTGGGAACTACAGCTCACAAATGTCCTGCTCTGTATGATCAACACAGTTGGATGGACACATCTGGATTTACAAAGTATAGATATACAGTAGTGGCCAAAATTGTGGAAACGTTTTGGGAAAAGTGTATAGTACTTGATTCTCTTTGGTATACTAGAGGGAAGACAGAATCTCTGATAGGCTTTCAAATTTCTGTTATTATTCCCTTAATAAGAAAAAACTCCAGAGATTCTTAAGGTGTCTGTTTCCTAATCTGATTTAGGAAAGAAGAACTGATACTTACTC